GTGGATGGAGTACTGAGAAGTCAAAGACGTGGGAAGGTAAGTCAGAGTCAATCGTCGTATCGAGCAGGACGACGACGAGTGCGCTGTGGATGCTCAGAAGCGTCCGGTTGCTGTTGAAGGTCTGCCTCAGATGGAGCAGGCTCAACTTCAGCGGTCTCCTCAGCCGGAGGAGAAGGAGGAGGGTCAGTGGGCTGAGGAGGAGCAGTGAACCCAGCCCGACGAGCACGGTCATAGGCACGCACCGACATGCGAGCGTGCTGCAAGTGCTCGAGGGGCTCCCAGGTAGCCTCCTCATCAGGGTAACCCTTCTAACGTACAAGATACTCGACGTGGGGAGGGTTGTCGTCGGTGACTCGGCGACCAATGATGTCTGAAACGAGGAACTCCTCGTGACCGTCCACCATGATGGGTGGAGGGCGCTCGTATGGTTGTCCGGCGAAACGCTCAGACGGTCTGCGGTAAGGACGCAGTAACGAGACGTGGTAGACATCGTGCACACAAGCCTGGCGTAGGTAGTCGGGCAGCTTCACACGGAAGCTGATCGGGCTAGAAGCCGTATTAGAACTGACGGCCTGGAGGATGCGGCGTGGACCAAAGAAGCGACGCCGAAACTTGCGAAGCGTATCCGCTTCGAGTTGTAAGTGGCGGGCGTCGATAAGCACATCATCACCGAATTTGAATGGATGATCCATTCTCGATCGGTTCGCACGTGCTGCCATGCGAGTCTGGGAAGCGGCTATGTGCTCATGTGCGGTCTTCATGATCGATGTCATGTGTGCAACCAAATCATCCAGCGCGGGACAGCTCGTGTCGGGGTGTATCTGTGACGGTCGAAGGAAGTCCGCGGGAACACAAGGGTGATAGACGAGGTCGCAATAGTAAGGCGACATCCTCGTGGTTGGCGAGACGACGTGGTTGTAGGCTATCTCCACGTGGGCAAGATGGAGGTCCCACTGCTGGTCGTCACGAACAATCTTTCGGAGAATATCTCCGAGAGTCCTGTTCGTGATCTCGGTCTGACCATCAGTCTGAGGATGGTAAGACGAGGAGAAGCGGAGCGGAGTGCCGTATACCTCGTGGAGCCGTCGCCAGAATCGGCTGGTAAAGCGCGGGTCACGGTCAGATATGATGCTCAGAGGTAAGCCGTGGTCGCGCACGACTCGGTCAAACACAATGTCGGCGACCTCACGTACATTGATGGCATAGCGGCACGGAACAAAGCGTGCACGCTTCGTGAAGCGGTCGACGACGACCAGGATAGCATCATGACCGCGGGGGGTCGGAGGTCGAAGAGGGCCGATAAAGTCCATCGAGATGGACTGCCAACGACCCTCAGGGATATGAAGAGGCTGGAACAAACCATAAGGTAGGTGGTTCGCACTGTTCACCTCCTGACAGGTGGGACACTCTGCGACGTAGTCCTTCACAAAGTCCTTG